CACAGAATTGTTACAGAGGGAAACAGAATCGATACTACTGAGGGACACATGAATTGTTACTCAGGGACACAGAATTGTCACTCAGGGGACACAGAAATTGTACTACAGAACACAGACATTGTTACAGAGGGAAAAACACATATTTGTTACCTCAGGCACAACAGATGTTACTCAGGGACAACACCGAATTAGTTACTAACATCGCAACTCAAGGACACAGAAATGTATACTCAGGGACAACAGATTGTTACTTGAGTGGACACAGAATTGTTACATTCAGGATAGACACAGAATTGTATACTCAATGAGGGACACAGAATTGTCACTCAGGACACAGCATTGTTACTCAGGAAACACAGAATTGTTACTGAGGGGAACTCATAATTGTTACTTCAGGGACCACAGAATTCATTACTCAGTGAACACAGAATTGTTACACAGACACGATTGATCACTCAGGCGACACAGAATTGTTACTCAGGGACACAAATAGTTATACTGAGGCGGACCTATCAGAATCGTTTTACCTGGAAGACGGCCACAGAATTGTTACTGAGGGACACAGAAATTGTTACTGAGTTACACAGAAATGGTTAGCACTCAGGGACATACACACAGAATTTGTTACTCAAGGGACAGACACAGAATTGTTTACTCAGCGGACAGACACAGAATTGTTACAGGGACACATAATTGTTACTCGAGGGACACAGAAATCTGTTTACGAGAGAGGGACACAGAATTGTTACTCAGGGACGATCACAGAATTGTTACTCAGGGGACACAGAATTGTTACTCCAGCAAGGAACAGAATTGTTACTCAAGGTACAGACACAGAATTGTTACTCAGGGACACAGAATTGTTACTCAGCGGACACAGAATTGTTACATTCAGTGGACACAGAATCCGAGATATGTCACACAACATGCAAAAGGAGTTGGCAGAGGAAGAGCAAATGTATTTAGACAGCGGTCAGACAACACAGCAGAGGAGTGGCAGAGTAGGCAATGATTCATGAGCCAGCAGAACGTGGCACAGAGGAAGGGGTCGAGCGACCAGCACTAGTCGCGAGCAGCCAGAGGCCAGTGCACTAAACCCGGAGAGTCATCCAGTCCAGCGGATACGTGTCTCCACCGACAAAACCTGACAACCAACAACCAATACGTCATTGATTGCGTTGGCATCGGTAATCCGTCTTCCTCATCCCAAGTCACCTCATGACACCTACAGCCCAACGGTCGGTGGGTAAGCGTCAACACAACCGTTAATGTTGGCATGGCCCGGAGCAAGCCCACTGAAAAGAACACGTGTCCTCACTACCTGCCCCTGTCCTTTGGTGTTACCCTCACTCAAGCGAAGTATCGCATGCTGTGGGCTCAGCCACCCACTGTACAGTGAGGAAGAGCTAACAGAGGGCGGTTCAGTCCAGAACGGGGGGAGACATCCGCCTCTTCACAGCAGCCAGGCGAAGAAGTACATGAAGCGAGGAGAGTGGCTCGGTAGCCGGTCTATGAGACAGGTCTGTCTCCTGACCCACACGCAGCCGAGGGGCTAGTAGTGACGAGAAGCGAAGAGAACCACTAATTGATGATAGATGAGGCGTTGATTCGCAACGTATGGCAGCCTTCGTCGTCATCAGGCTATTGCTTTCCGCATCATCAGGAGAAGAGAGGTGCCAGCTTGGCAGCGACGCAAAAAAACAGTCAAGGGTGGGTTGCCCAGGAGAGCAGCAGGGTCGCCTAAGGCAGTGTCAGTAGAGGCAAATTACAGTGAACCACGGAGTAGAGCACCAGCTCCACGAGCAGCACTACCGAGACCACGGTCCCAGTAAGTGTAGCCGTACTAGGTGTCAGCGATGTGCAGCACGGACCGTATGTCGACTATGTGGCCAGAAAGTCAAGCGTGGCCAGGGGCCCATGATTGGGACTCACAGCGTTGCGGCAGCATATGCAGCGTCGCCATTCGGTGGCCTGGGAAAACTGTGATAAAGATACGGCGGCGTTCTGCCCGCCCCAGCCCCCGCTCCATCACCCGCTCCGTTACTTGCTCCGTCACACCCGACGTCAATCGCCCTCACATCAGCCAGTCAAGGCTCCAACACCTCTGCTGCTGAGGGATTGTCGCTCGTTGCATCTTCCGCTCGTTCAGATGCTCCTTCTCCTGCTACTCCTCTTCACGGATTCCGTCAGCATCTTTCTTGGAATCCGTTTCCAAGAGACAACAGTTTGCGAGCACGCACCCGACGGTGCAAAAGCTGAACGTCCTCCTGTCCAAGTTTGCTGGTGCTGCAGTCCCCTCCCTTTCCAAGTGGTGGACTCAGCACCTTTCCGAGAAATGATGGGCTTGTGCCGCGCCGCGGTGGAGAGTGCCAAGCCGGCATTTCTTTCGCCAAAAAGCAGTGCCAGCCCTGCATTCACATGTAAGAAGAGATGGGGGCCAGTCTTTGAGCATGTCGGTCTCTGCCAAAGTGCACGGCAGCGCCGACGTGTGGAGCTGTAACTACGGTCAGGGACAGTACATGTCATTTACGGCCCACTGGGTGAACGTGGTGCCGTCAACAGCCGCACCAGCAACTTGGACAGGTCACACTGCCGCTTTTGCCTCCACGTTTGCACGTCCTTGTCCAGCAAAGATGTCCGCCTCTACCACCCTCTTCTTCCGCCGTGTCCTCAGCCGCCACCCCCACCCCCGTGCCAAGTCCCATTACACCCGACCGGCATATCACACACATGTCAGGGCGCAACGGTGTCACGCTCTGCTGCACACCTGGTATGCCTTGGCGAACGTAGTCACAACAGGGGAGGAACTTCTGAGTGTAATGAACAACAGAGAAATCGACAGATGGCGTGTCTCCCGCGCAAACTAAAATCGGAACCATGATTGACACCGACAAACGGAAAGAAACATGGTTTCTGCTCTGCGTCAAGGAAGTTGTGCCATTGGCGCCATGCATGGCTCACGTGTTCAATCTGGTTGTCAAGCGGTTCCTAAAATCCACCATCCCACTGCAAGACATCCTTAAAATGTCACGTAAACTTTGCATGCATTTCAGCCATTCCTACACCGCAAAGCACACCCTCCTTGAGCTGCAGCTTGGCAAACGTAATTCCACAGCATCGCCTGATCCTGCGACGTTGCAACAAGGTGGAATTCAACCCTAACACATGTTAGACCGCCTTTACGAACAGCGAAAGGCCATCACCGATTTCCTGATGTTACAAGCGGATAAAGGTACTCCCCTGTGTAACTTCGATGTCAGCCATTGGCAGCTCATGCGTGACACCTGCCGCTTGCTCAGGCCCTTTGAGGAGGCCACGCTATTCGTGGGAGTCGGCAGGACTAGGGGATGAGATGAAACGACGTCATTCCTCTAAGTTGCACGTCCTGGAACAAATGCTGTTAACAATGGCTGGGATCATGGGTGCGGTAAAAACGTGGCGCGACAGATCTCAACGCCACATGACCCCTGTGGGGGCAGGACAGGAAGAAGAATGAGATGAGGAGGACATTTGCTCAATATCGGAATTTTGTGATGAAATGGGTGGTTTTTCCACTCCAGCGGACAGGAGGAGACAAGCATCTGGTAGCTGGAGGAGGAGGAGGAGATACAAGAGGACCCAGACGCACCGTGGCAGTAATGCTGTGGAGATGGAGGCAGGGAGTCCCTCGCATTCCTTGGCACAAATGGCCCCATACATGCTCGGTTGCTTGCGTAGCGACAGCCGAATCGGTAATAACCATCAGACAGAGGGATGACTTTTGGCTGTCCACCTTTTGGACCCTCGCTACCGTCCTATCAAAAATGGTGGCCTTTTTCACACCTGCTGAGAGGGAGGCCAAAAATAAACGTACTATAAAAACCACCTACCATGTATCAGTTGGTCTCTGCTCTGTTTGTGCTGCTGCATGCCAACGTCCATCCCTCACCAGGACACTGTGGGGCCCTACATGTGCGCTCGCGTAGAATTCCGCTGCACATAGCAGCAGGGGAGGAGGTGGGGTCAGGTTAAGCAGCTTTGGCAGCTCCACCAGCTGCCGCTGCCTCAGTCAGGCTGTTCGATATGAGTGCACGAGTCAGCGTCTGACACCACGCATGTGAGGAAAACTATCTAACCATCCGCTAGCAGCCAGCAGCATCAGGTGGACCTTGGACGCAACCCCAAACAACAGGCCTGGGCCTAATTATTGGACACACCCTGGCCAACCGAGTAGACAATCCCTTGACTACTGGGCAGTCACGAAACTTGACCATTGGGCACAAGACTAGCTGAAAATGCCCAAAAAGCTGTCATGCGAGAGGACTGTACGTGCATCGTAGCGCGTGTTTAGAGTCTGGAGGAGGTGATCCTTGTAACTCCGTACCCTTGACACAATCACCCCACCCAAATGTGTGGAGTCTAGACATCACGTTCCATTACTCCATTGAAAAGTGACACTATTGGAAGGTCATCGTGGGCCTTAGTCTGCCAGATCAACTTAACCTCCACCAGTTATTCCTCCAACACAACTAGCTAATTTGCCGCCATGACAGGCTGTCCACCTTTCTGGATCGCCTATGCTCACATGCCACTGTAGCATAGGTGCTGCAGATTAGGCCTCTCCATACTGGCTCTCAGCCCCGTAATCTCGCCATGCGCCTACAGTTTTCTGCTCGCCTAGTCCAAGCGGCTCAGGTACCCCCTGAAGACTCCCATGCTGCGTTTGCCACACTCTCGCCAGGCCACTATTCAGGTCCTCACACACTGCGGTGTATTGCCTGCGACTCCCATACTCTGCCACCCCCTAATCTCCATGGGCCTGGCTGCCTCAGCTGCTGCAGGTCCTATCTGTCAATAGGTCCCTGTACGCTCCCCATGTCTGCTGCTCCCATCGCCACACTCATCCATGTTTGCCGACTTTCATGTACTCCTCGACCACACTGCTGTGGGTTCCATTTTTTGTCATAGTAATTGGCAGATTACGGCTCCCATTGCTGCTGCCAGGCCCCTAATCTGTCCCCATGGGCCCCTGTACGCCTCCTCATGCTGCTGCCAGGTCCAGGAGTCGGTCATGGGTCCCCTGTACAGGGGCCTCCCATTGCTGCTGTCTTCATCGCCACACTCTGCCATGTTGCCACTTTCAGGTCTCCTCACACTGGGGTGTGTTCCATTTTGTCACTTAGGGTGCTGGCAGATTACGGGCCTCCCATTGCTGCTGCCAGGCCCTAATCTGCCATGGGCCCCCGTACCGCCTCCTCATGCTGCTGCCAGGTCCAGATGTCCCCTCTCATGGGTCCCTGTACAGCCTCCCATTGCTGCTGTTCTCCATCGCCACACTCTGCCATGTGCCACTTTCAGGTCTCCTCACACGTCTGCTGGTGGGTTCCATTTTGTCATATGGGTGCTGGCAGATTACGGCCCTCCCATTGCTGCTGCCAGGCCCGTAATCTGCCATGGGCCCCCGTATACCGCATCCTCATGCTGCTGCCAAGTCCAGAGTGTTCATGGGTCCCTGTACCGGCCTCCCATTGCTGCTGTCTCCATCGCCACAGACTCTGCCATGTGCCACTCGTTCAGTCTCCTCACACTGCTGGTGGGTTCCATTTTGTCACATAGGGTGCCTGGCCAGATTACGGGCCTCCCATTGCTGCTGCCAGGCCCTAATCTGCATGGGCCCCGTATTTTTTGACATACCTCCTCATGCTGTGCGCCCATCCAGAGATACCGCGTCTCATGGGTCCCTGTACCAGTGCCGGGCCTCCATTGCAGCTGACCTCCATCGCCACACTCTGCGTATGTGCCACTATTCAGGTCTCCTCCATCACACTGCTGGTGGTGTTCCATTTTTTGTCATAGGGTGCTGGCAGATTACGGGCCTCCCATTGCTGCTGCCAGGCCCGTAATCTTGCCATGGGCCCCCGTATACCGACTCTCCTCATGCTGCTGCCAGGTCCAAGATTGTACTCTCATGGGTCCCTGTTAACGGCCTCCCATTGCTGCTGTCTCCATCGCCACACTCTGCCATGTGCCACTTTCAGGTCTTCCTCACACCACTGCTGGTGGGTTCCATTTTGTCATAGGGTGCTGGCAGATTACGAAACACGGGCCTCCCATTGCTGCTGCCAGGCCCGTAATCTGCCATGGGCCCCGTATACCAGACCCTCATGGCTGCTGCAAAAGGCCCGTAATCTGTCATGGGCCCCTGTACCGCTGCCTCATGCTGCTGCCCAGGTCCAGAGTGTCTCAATGGGTCCCTGTACGGCCTCCCATTGCTGGCTGTCCTCCATCGCCACACTCTGCCATGTGCCACTTTTCCAGGTCTCCTCACACTGGCGGGTGGGTTTCCATTTTGTCATAGGGTGCTGGCAGATTACGGCCTCCCCATTGCTGCTGTTGCTGCTGCCAGGCCCGTAATCTGCCAGGGCCCCCGTACCGCCTCCTCATGCTGCTGGCCAGGTCCAGAGTGTCTCAGTGGGTCCCTGTAACGGCCTCCCATTGCTGCTGTCTCCATCGCCACACACTGCCATGTGCCACTTCAGGTCTCCTCACACTGCTGGTGGGTTCCATTTTGTCATAGGGTGCTGTATGGCCTCCCATTGCTGCTGCCTCCACCGCCACACTGTGGGCTCCACACTCTGGTTTTGGCCCCGTGACTGCCCAAATGAGTGAAGTTGTGCGGTGATTCTAAGATCGACGGCACTCATCTGCATGTAATACTGACTGACAGTATTATTTCTCTTCCCCAGCAGACTCCAAGGGCAATTTAAATTAAAGGTACAGTGTTCTGCACTAATATAAAGGCTCTCTGAAAGCCTAGAAACACCCTTTTTATAAGTTAAATTCGCAGCGAATATATTCGCCTCGAATCAAATTTTATTCCTCGAATTCGCCGAATCAGCTTGAAAAAAAAATCGAATTTTTGAATACTTCGCTCATCTCTAGTTAATTCTATATCATACTGTGTAAGGCTATACATGGGCTGTAACTGAAAGGTTCCTATGTAATCACGCGCTTCACTAACTTCCCTTCCTTTTTCTCTATTCTAGTTTTTATGTTATATGTTGTTTTTTCGACTTAAACATGATGTGTTTTTTGATCAAGTCCTGTATTTTAATTGTCTCCCATGCTGACGTTTGGATTAAGCCTGTCTGTCATTGGGGCAGGCGGACATTATGCTCTCACATCTTAGTTAATCTCATGTTGTATTTACTTCTGTACCATATCACCATGGATATGTCAATATGTTTATTGTGTTTAATGTACATGTTAAAATATCAATAAAAACACAATTACACAAAACACAAAAAAAAAAGGCTTCTCCGACTCTGGCTCAGTACCCAGCCTTCCCTCCTTAGATTACCACCAAAGGGCAGGAAAGCTGGGTCAAAAAAAACCCTCAAATAGTTTACTGGTTTTTTTCCTTCTCCCTGCCTCAGACAGCCACTCTTATCTAGCTATTGTAGGCAACCTGTCTACATACATACATAGGGGGTTATTTACTAAATACAGAGACTATATGCACTATTCATATCCCCACAATCTGCATTTATGTATCAATCATGCCTGTAAGCCAAAAGCATCAACTCTCCAAATAATGCTTTTGGCTTCAATACTTGCCAAAAGCACCTCCTCCACAAACACCTTCTAACTCCCCCGCTCATGAAAAGCTCTCCATTGCTCATATTATGTCTGACCTCCAGTTGAATCTAAATGAAGGTCTAGTTTCTCTCAATTTCTACCCTATGGGAAGCCTAAATGGGGGACCGCCCACATTATCCAAATTGTATCCAAATGGATTTCATGGCCACGAGGCTCACAAGAGCTAGGGCCTGCAAGACTCCTACCCTAAGTTTTGGAAGCAGTTAAAATGATAAGTTAATCTTTTGAAAAAAGTAATAATAAATGCAAACTTTTTACAGGGAAAAAATGTGCATTTTTTATTTTTTTTCTAAGAGTCTGCAGAGCATTGCACTAGCAAATCAGCAGATTGAAAATGTAATCTCAGGCTCCTGCAGGCTCTCAGGATAGCTGTCTGCCCACACCTTGTAGGGGCAGTAGTTTACTTGGGAGCACAGAGAATCAGTGAACCCCTTAGAAACTACCAGAGCACTCACCAGTGCCCTCATAATTCAGTGAGAACTACAAGCTGTCAGCCACAAATGGCTGACAGTACTTGCAGACTATTCATTCATACAGAAAACTGTGAATGAATGAAGCAGCCAGTCTATATTTTTAAAATTGTGGCAGTAGGTGTGGGGAGAAGGTCCACTGTCATGAGGGGGGGGGAATCGGAGGTATGGGGTGCAGATGCTGGAGCATGTTACAGTCATGGCCGAAATTGTTGGCACCCTTGATATTTCTCCAGGAAATCATGTATTTCTCTCACGAAACGTATTGCATTAACACATGTTTTGCTATACACATGTTTAATTCCCTTTGTGTGTATTGGGACAAAACAAAAAAAAGGGAGGAAAGAAAGCAAATTCGACATAATGTCACACAAACCTCCAAAAATGGTCTGGACAAAAGTATTGGCACCCTTTCACAACTGCGGATAAATAAGAATGTTACAAGCATGTGATGCTCCTGTAAAACTCACCTGGGGCAAGTAAACAGGTGTGGGCAATATAGAAATCACACCTGAAAGCAGATAAAAAGGAGAGACGTTCACTTAACCTTTGCATTGTGTGTCTGTCTGTGCCACACTAAGCATGGACAACAGAAAGAGGAGACGAGAACTGTCTGAGGACCTGAGAACCAAAATTGTGGCAAAATATCAACAATCTCAAGGTTACAAGTCCATCTCCAGAGAACTAGATTTGCCTTTGTCCACAGTGCGCAACATTATCAAGAAGTTTGCAACCCATGGCACTGTAGCTAATCTCCCTGGTCGTGGACGGATGAGGAAAATTGATGAAAGATTGCAACGCAGAATAGTCCGGATGGTGGATAAGCAGCCCCAAACATGTTCCAAAGACATTCAAGCTGTCCTGCAGGCTCAGGGAGCATCAGTGTCAGCGCGAACTATCCGTCGACATTTAAATGAAATGAAACGCTATGGCAGGAGACCCAGGAGGACCCCCTGCTGACACAGAGACATAAAAAAGCAAGACTACAGTTTGCCAAAATGTACTTGAGTAATCCCAAAAGCCTTCTGGGGAAAAACGTCTTGTGGACAGATGAGAACCAAGATAGAGCTTTTCGGTGTAAAGCACATCATTCTACTGTTTACCGAAAACGGAATGAGGCCTACAAAAAGAACAAAACACAGTAACCTACGGTAAAATATGGTGGAGGTTCAATGAATGTTTTGGGGTTGTTTTGCTGCCTCTGGCACTGGGTGCCTTGACTGTGTGCAAGGCATCATGAAATCTGAGGATTACCAAAGGATTTTGGGTCGCACTGTAGGGCCCAGTGTCAGAAAGCTGGGTTTGCGTCCAAGATACCTGGGTTCTTTCCAGCAGGACAATGACCCCCAAACATACGTCAAAAAGCACTCAGAAATGGATGGCAAAGAAGCGCTGGAGAGTTCTGAAGTGGCCAGCAATGAGCCCAGATCTAAATCCCATTGAACACCTGTGGAGAGATCTTAAAATTGCTGTTCGGGGGAAAAGGTGTCCTTCCAATAAGAGAGACCTGGAGCTGTTGCAAAGGAAGGAGTGGTACCACAATTCCGTGTGTGATGAGGTGTCAGTAAGTCTATATTGATGGTTATAGGAAGCGACTGAATTAATCTAGTTTATGTTTTCCCAAGGGGTGTGCAACCAAATATTAAGTTAAAGGGTGCCAATACTTTTGTCCAGGCCCATTTTTGGGGTTTTGTGTGACAGTATTGTCATATTTGCCTTTCTGCCTCTGTTTTATACTGTGTTCCCCAATACATACCACTAAGGGGGATATAACTTGTGTATTGGGCCAAACATGTGTTAATGCTAATACCTTTTTTGATGTGAATTATACTTGATTTACAGGAAAAAATATCAAGGGTGCCAACAATATTCGGCCATGAACTTGTACATTGTGAACACGAAAAATAGGTGGAACAAGTAAATATTGTCCCAAGATGAATGGTATCCATTTAAACAACAGGTTTTTTGATTTTTATCATAATAAAAATATCAAAACAAAAAAAAAGGGAAAAACAGGCGGGCACCCCACAGCAAATTTTTTCTTCATTTGGCAGCCTTTTGGGTACAATTTCCATGATTTTTATGATTTTTCAAATTTTCCATTTTAATTTTTTCCCCCGGGAACTATCCCCCTTTTCTTCCCCTTCCCCCCTTTAGTTTTACACTTACTTTGGAAATGGAATTTTACGATTTTTAATGGAATTTTTTTGTAAAGGGCTGATTTAAAATGTTTATTGACAAAAAAAAAAAGAACAAATTTTTGCAGTTAAAAATCTTTAAAATCCAAAATTTTTATTATACAGGATTTAAAAAATGTCCCGAAAGAGATCTGGGTTCAATTTCATGTATTTCCTACCCTTTT